TCTCCGGTAGTAGCGGTTGCACTACTGTACTTGGTTGATTGAGCAGCATCCGGGTATAGAAACGATTCAGCACCATGCTTCTCAACATACTGAGGGCTGTACCCGGTCTGAGCACGGATATTGTTCCAAAACAGCTTGTAGTCTGCCATCGAGACAATGGTTTTACCATTGAGTTCAAGCGACATCGAATCGATGACGTTAAAGTTGCCACACTTGAGACCAACACAAAATAGGTTGGCTGCATTCTGTACATTTGTACCGTGCGTGTTCTTCATCGAAACCTTGTATGGTAGCATAATGTAAGCATCGCGGAGGCAGGCAAATCCTTCACTACCATTAAGCTGGGACGTAGCGTCGATAGTGATAATACCGTTTTGGTACGAACCTTGGTTAAAATCGATAACAAAAGGCACGCGCTTGCCAGAGGAGACCTTAATCTCCGGATCAACTCTTGAGCGAGCTCTGGTAAAGGTATTGGTCGGAAAGTTGTGTTTCAGACATCGTTGAATCTATATCTCGATCAATATAGTTTTGTTAAATTAATTATTATGAACAGCCTTGTTAAGCCAATTACCAGTGATCCCGATCTTATTGAACTCGCTGAGAAGATGGGGGTTCAGCTCGATAATATATTCGAGCCAAGTGAGATCACTCAGCCGCTTCCGAAGAATGGATCATATCTGATTTTGCTACGACAACCTAATATGGATGTAGGACACTGGACAGCTGTTCACAATGGCGAATATTTTGATAGCATGGGAGAAGCGGCACCTACGAAGTATGGAGTCGGGCGATATAGTACCAACCAATATCAAGGTACGTATGGCGACTATTGCGGGCCCTTCTGTATGCTTTGGTTATATTCCAAGCAGCACAACAGACCTGATGTATTTAAGAACATGAAAGATCTGAATTTGTCAATTCTGTATTAAATATGTTTTAGGGAATATAGCAATAATGTATCGCGAATTGACGATTTCCAGCGATGTTCCAGCCGCCAAGCTGACCAAAGCTCTCAAGACAGGTAAGCTAAGTCTTACTGCAAACCAACTCAAGGGTTCAGGCTCTGTTATCCATCTCCACCCAGCTTCGTATGAGAAAGCACTAAAGGCTCGCAAGGCAGGTCGTGGTGTTAGACTTGACATCACACGTCACGAGATCAAGAAAAGATACAAGAAGCTCCAAGGGGGATCCATTTGGAGTAAAATCAAATCTGGGTTATCGACAGCATTCAAATTTGTAAAAGACAGCGGATTGCTTTCAAAGGGATTAGACGCGGCGGTTCCGGCTCTTGCGTCAGCGTTTGGGGCCCCTCAAGCAGCAATCCCAGCGAGAGCAGCTATTAAGTCATTGACCGCAGTTGGTTTATACGACTCTGACAGTGATATAGAGAAAGAGGGAGGACGTGTATCTATAGCGGATGTTAAGAAGGCGGCAAAAAATGTTCTCGGGTATGCTAAACGTAAGGGGGTTCTAACTGATGCAGTCGATGCAGGTGAGAAGTTTCTACTATCAAAAGCAAGCAAACCGGAACATGAAACTCTAATCAAGTCAGTGCGAGGTGAGGTAAAGAGACGTTATGGTGTGGGAGTTTCTAAGAAACCAGCTAAAGGCAGTCCTGAAATGAAGGCTAAAATGGCCGCTTTGCGTGCTAAACGGCGAGGGGGAAGTTTTCGGTTATGAGAGTTGGATAAAAAAAATTAGTCATTCGATTATTTATTTTTTTGGACGAAGCAGAAGCATGATGCTCACTGAAGTGTCGCGGAACTTAACCTTTGTGTCATTCTGATTAAAGATTGAGATCGTGATTGATGTGCGCGCTCCATTATGACAGTTCATCCAGGCATATTGACTTGGCTTATAGCTGATTAATTGACCTACCTGAGCATCACCACGATCAAACGCACTAAGAATATCACCAGAGGCTACATACTCGTTCTTAATTAGATCACAACGAACGTTGTAAGAAGATGTAGGATGGATCTGAGGAATTGTATTACTGAGCTGAGCACTTGAAACCGTTGCAGGCGCTGAAGGATACGTACCAGTAGTCAATCCTACTACTTTACCAAAAGCGTCATTATCGATGATGATGCGAGGGACACGCGTTATTGTTGGCAAACCAGTACCGCCTGACGAATAAAGACCACTTGCCGGTCGTGTCCAAGTGCCACCAGCCGTAGGAAGTGTCGTTGGAGTAGCGCTAAAATCGAATTGAGCAGCGTAATACACACTGTTTTCCGCTAGTTGAATATAGAAAACGTTCTCACCCGATGGATTAATTAAATACGCTCCAGCATTTACGAGAGCTATCTGGATGCTTCGAGTTATATCAGATTAACTGTAAAGCCCATCAGGCAAGCTAACAGATACAGTGGATGCGGTTCCAGCTGTCGGAACTTCAATTTTAAAGGAGTTGTTCCAGAATTGAGCGGCGTCAATGTTGTATTCAGAGTTATACATCGAAATCGATTGAACTGCACATGCTACATCCTTAAAATCGGCAGCACTACCAGGGAAGCTGTATTTCCATGTGCTGTTGTATCCGTCTTGAACGAGGTTAGTGGAATCGAGTTTAACAAACGAAGCGCACATGATTTATGTTTATTGATTCACTCAAAATATTTTCAAATTATTGCTCAATATCGATCGGCCTATCGAAGTTATATCTGATTTGACCTTTGACTGAATCCACGAACAGCATCTGTCCTTTGCGCTCCGTGGCTTTATTGTAGTAATAGACGATTGATCGTTCATCAACGCCTTTGATGTTAAAATCCTTTACAACCATCTGTAAATCACGCTTCGAATTCGCTTTTAGAATCGCTACGTACTCTGAATTCAACCGAATCATTTTATCAGTGGCAAAGTAGCTGTGGCTTAGGAATATGGTTGAGAGTTTAAAGTGTCGCCCACGTGTATAGTAATGAGAGAAGATATTCTTCTGAAGTAGTTTATCATTGCTATAGTCATCGATGATAACAAGCTCCGGTTTGTTAGAGCTTAATGGAGTATGACGCACCTGATCTACTTTAGGAGGGCTATCTGCGTCAGCAAATGTGATGAATCCTTCCAACTTTTCCCGGAGATACTCATAAAAGCTCCTGATGGGGATTACGAGCAATGATAGTTAGATGAGCAAATACGTGAGGAGAATGCTTGAGAATAAACATACAAAGATTGTTCTTCCCTGAAAAGCTTGGACCGAGCACAACCATTCTAAACAAAGCTTTCATATCCAATGCGGGGATATCACCCATCGAAGCAGACTTGAATTTTTTCGGAATCGAAGCCCCGAAGTCAGGAATAGCACTCATGACTAAAATCGTTTGATCTATATAAGATTAAACAAAATGAGTTCCGGTTTTTCATATCCACAGCCTACATTTCAATCATCCATTTATAATCCTTCATTCTATCTTTCGTTAGACTCGAGTGGTTATCTAACATACGATTATGCGCAGACACTATATTTGAGCAAGGATGATTACAGGATGGGCTACCTTAGCGGAGTAATAGCGGGAACTGCTTCGTACAGCAAAACTTTGATTCTCGATTCGTCCGGCAATATCAGCGGAATTAATAGCTTTGGAGCTTCTACTATTACTGGAACGCTACAAACCGGATCCCAACCCAATATAACGTCTCTCGGCTCTTTATCAGGTCTTACGATCGGTGGAAATTTATCGTTCAGTGGATCATCGCGCTCGATATCGATAACAGGCACTTCAAGCTACATCGATTGTCGAGAATATCGCCAGAACGGGACTATATACGATTTGGGCCTTCTTGAATACATAAACGGAGTTAGTTTTGGTACCGCAACGTCAAATAAATTCCTATTATGCGACTCAAGCTCGAATATCGGAGGCCTAAGTTCGGTAACGGCTACTACTCTGACCTGCACGAACTTGCGCCAGGGCTCGACGTATTATGACCTATCAAGCTTTTTAACATCTATTCCGACTTCCCTCTCGCTCAATAATCTGTCAACGAGTGGGGATATCAGCTGCTCCGGCGTTATCAATGGGTTTTTAGCGTATGGAAACCAATCAGCTATAACAACAGTAGGATCGCTGACAGAGCTTGGGATCAACTCTACAGCAACGAATGAATATTTCTCGATCACTGGTAGTGGATTGGACTTTCTTGATGGTTCTTACACACGAATGATGACTCTAACCGGGTCGAATACGACTCCTGTTCAATTCCAGATCCAAGTCCATAATGGCAATCGATCAACCACAGCGAACGCGTCATGGATCGGGAACATCACAAACAACGACCTCAGATTTAGGGTCAATAACTCGACGTCGATGATTCTAACTACCCCAGGTCGTCTTGGTCTTGGTACTACAAGTCCTTCAGCTCCGCTGCACGTCCCTGGCAGCAACAGCTTTGTATTTGGAGCAGGCGGAACGACAGTGTATCGCCTCAGAACTGATAGTGGAGCTACAGAATCCGCTCTTAGCCCGATCACATATTCAGTAGCGGGTATATTCGGAGGATACATTGCCTGTACAGCCATGGCGATGACGAGCGACCGCAGATTGAAGAGGAACATTCAATCGTGTCCGCTCGAACGCATCAAACGACTCTACGATAATTGTGATGTAGTTTTGTATGAGTGGATCGAATCGGATAATAGACCTGGTCAAGATGTGGGCCTCATAGCTCAAGACCTTGTCTCAGCCCACCTAGCCGATTTAATCAGTGTTTTCTATCGCGATGATATTCAGGAAGGCGAAGACCCATCGTTTGAACCTGCCAAAACACAACTTAACGTTGGTTACAGTCGAATTGCAGCATACAATATGAAAATGATTCAACATCTCTTGGATCGAGTTGAGGAATTGGAAGCAAAGGTATCATCTCTAATATAGACCATGCCATTCACATTTCGTATTTCGAAGAGAAAAGACA